AATCCAGTCTGGGCTCTGAGATCATCAGGAGAGACCGTTCCCTCAGTTCCAACACCATGACACTTATGGTTGGTAGTGAGACAAGAGAGCCTTCTTGGTTGCTGCCCCTAGACTCCAGAACTCCCAATGGCCTCCTCCTTGTTGGCCTTCTGGTAGCAGGCTAAAGTCTTTTTATTCAGACAGGCTTTTAAAATAAAGTTTTTAAAGAATGGGCTAGGGGGAATTGCAATATTTTAACAATTTTTGTGTTGTTTTTTTAATTGCATTTTATGATTTCATTGTGTGATTTAATACTGTAATAGTTTGATATTGTAATAGGTTAATTCTATTTTAATGCTCACTTTTTGTATGTTTTAAATTGTATTGTTCTTTTAAATTGTGAAATGCTTTAAAATCCCAATTTTGGAGTGAAGCAGGATATTGTTGTTGCTGTTAATACAAACCAGTTCTGATTGCTGGATAAGAATGACTTGTTTATATCTGTTCCATGAACATATGACAAACTGGCCAGGTTATATGACAGTAACCAGCTCATTTGACAGAATAAAGAAAGACAGACAGTCTCCCTTAGCATAGTCAGGAAAGTAGCCTGGAAATGTTGTAAGCCTTCTAGCTATCAACATGCATCATCTACAATGGCTGAAGAAGCAGATATACATAACAAGTTCTGTTAATTCTTAAGCAGACATGCAAATTTAGAAATAATTTATCACTTAAATGGAAATACAATGTATTTCACAAAAGTGAAGGAGAGATTTATAATGTATTTAGAGTTCTATTCTTCTGCTTTAACTGCCATGGTTCCATACTGTGTAATCCTGGGATTTGTAGTTTGGTGAGGCACTAAAATGCTCTGGATTCTAAGTGCCCCTTCCCAAACTGCATATTCCAGGATTCCATAGGATAGAACCATGTCAGTTAAAGTGAAATTATGGTGCTATACTTTTGTAGTGTGAATGAGCTCTGTGTCTGCTCTTTTTTCTATCTAAATGCTAACACTAGATGGGCAGCTATAATGCTTTCTTTTTAAACTGGATTTCAACTGGACAGCTCTTTGTAAAACCACACAACCACCTGAAATTAATCTTCTTTAGCTACATAGGCTGAGATTCTATATCAGCTCCTCAGCTATGTACCTACCTTAGTTATCATAAGTAGCATGTCCTGGCTCAACCTTCCCCTGAAATCTTGACTTAATAGACAAGCAGCTACTGTGAGCGACAGGGAGCTGTTCACCTGTTGGCTGGAACACAGAAGACAGATGTTTCCACTCCCCTCCTGCAAACAATCTCTGGTGCATCACTCAGAAGCAGAGTCCCTGTCACAATTCCTCCTTGCACTAGAAATCACTTGCAGGGGAGGAATGTCAGTCGTCTGCATCCTGATCAGGAGGAGGAGAGACCCCTGTTGCTTGCTGTGACTGCTGCCAGTAAGGACCTTATCACACGGGGTCCCAAGCAGAAGATATCCAAAGG